TCTCTCTCTCTCTCTCTCTCTCTCTCTCTCTCTCTCTCTCTCTCTCTCTCTCTCTCTACCGCGCGCGCGCGCGCATGAGTGTGCGTGCGTGCCCGTGCTTTTGCGTGCGTGTGCGTGCGTGCGTGCGCGCGTGTGTGTGTGTGTCTTGTCATATTCGTTTGTGTGTGCGTGCGTGCGCGCGCGCGTGTGCGTGCTTGTATGTGTGTATGTGTTGTCATATTCGCGCGTGTATGTGTGTGTGTGTGTGTATTGTCATAGTCGCTACACAACTCCAAGCATGACTGCGCCAGACTCTTTCGTGGGACTTTCACCTATTTATCAGGAAGTTCAACCCCGACGGTCTGCCGAGGATGCATGCATTTGACTGACAGATAAGGGCTTATACCACCCTTCCCCCCCCCCCCCACACACACAGAGAGAGTAAAATTGACTGACAACTTTTCTCAATAAGGGTATCGCTAACTCTTAACTCCAACTCTGGGCGGCGTGCCGACCCCTTATCCATCCCATCAGTCAAATGCATCCACAGCACACCGTGAGGGTTGAACCTCCTGATCAGTAGGACGAAACAGTCTGGTGCAGTCATGCGTGGAGTTGTGTATAGCGGATATGACAACACACAGACGTGCGCCCTCATACACGTACACATACACATACACACACACACACACACACACACACACACACACACACACACACACACACACACACACACAGGTTGATGCATGCTCATCGTGCGGGTTGATGCTCCTGATCAGTAGGACGAAACAGTCTGGTGCAGTCATGCTTGTGTATAGCTGGAGGCGAAGTGTCGGAGCCGTATGCAAGCCATCGGCGGACGGGTCGTTGGATTCGGCGGTAATCAACGGTCCCCATTCCAGCGGACTGCATCCAAGACTGATGAGGAGAAGCAGGGGGAGGTGAACGAGGAGGGGGGAGGAGGAGGAGGAGGAGGAGAACGTGGAGGAGGAGAAGGAGAAGGAGGAGGAGGAGGAGGAGGAGGAATTGGTTCGAGCCGTGTTCTGGTTCTGTTTCATAATAGGCAGTCTTCACCTTCAGTCCGCGATCAATAAGTAGGGAGCCCCCTGATCAGCGTGGCTGATCGGCCATCAGGATCGTCGATCGACGAAATTCTACTGCGTTCCCCTGGTGATGCTGCAGACAATGATATGACAGGGATATGACAGGGATATGACAATGATATGGCAGGGATCTACGATAGGAGAACAGCGATATCGGTAGCAGCAGTTCCAGCAGATGGAGGAGGAAGAGGAGGAGGGAACTGCGTCGATCACCCCCTGATCAGCGTGGCTGATCGGCCATCAGCATCGTCGATCAACGAAACTCTACTGCGTTCCCCCGGTGATGCTGCAGACAATGATATGACATTCAATGATCGGTTTCCTTTTGCTTTTCCCTTTCTGCTTTTTCCTTCTTTCTTTTTTTTCGCCCAAGTCATTCTCCGCTTCTGAATGGAGGGATGCATGACAGACACGTGGCGGAATGTGATTGGCACGTGGGTTGGGATGGGTCTGGACTGGATCACACACACGTGGCACCAGACGTTGATCGTCATCGTCACATAAACAGTTTGATGATTCAAACACTCACTCATCAGAAGCCAACCACCTGCTTGCTCGTGTTTCAACAGGATCATCAATGCCCCTTTTTTTTTTTTTTTTTTTTTTTTTTTTT